CAAATTCTTTAAATGAAAACGTACTTACGTGAGTCAGAACTGCCGGCATTTTAGTCTAACGTTACTCTCCCAGGATCAGTAAACAGTCCTCCATAAAATGTGCTGCACACATCTGGATATTTGGGTTGAACTGTTCTGGAACAGTGTTGTAAATACAACTTAACCACTGATTGTACCAAACTAACAAAGTAGTTTCGCTTTCACAACGAAACACAGAGTGGAGGCCGGAGGCCTAGAGTGAGCAGAGGCCGGGGGCCAGAGTGAGCAGAGGCCAGGGGCTAGAGTGAGCGGAGGCCGGTTTGAGTGAGCGACGGCGGGCGGGCTTGCGGCAACCACATGTGACGACCCCGGGCTGGACTCTGCTTCGTCCACGGTGAAAGTTGATGTATTCCCTCAGCGAATCAGTCTGTGAGTCAGAACAACCGGCATTGTAGTCCTCCATAAAATGTGCTGCACACATCTGAATATTTGGGTTGAACTGTTCCGGAACAGTGTTATAAATACAACTTAACCACTGATTCTAGTTGTGTCCTCTTTTGGAAGACCAAACAAAGTAGTTTCACTTTCACAACGACACACAGTGCCTTCACGACATGGCGGCGGCAACAACAATACTACAGCGAGAATAAAAGTTACTCCTTCTTTCTTTGTGTGAACATTTGGGCGGTGTTATGCAAATCTTCCCACATAGTGACGTAGATATGTGGGGGTGTGTTAGAACGAGCCGTTTTAGGTAGGTGTGGCTGACTCTGAACTTTTTATAAAGATTTATAAAAAAGATATCTCTTTGGATTTGAGACTTTAGTCTTTGCAACTTTACAGATCTTCTTTATGCACCAAGAGCTTGTAACACTCCAAAGAGAAAAGAAAAAATTGAAATCGCATCATATGACCCCTTTAACATTGTAGACATTTTACAAAATATGAAAATTACCTTTATTATCAATTATCATTTTTATCAAAGCTATATTTTTTGCATAATACAGAATCATGAAGGTCATAACACAAAATAACCTCAAGGGACAAAAAGAGCTGTGATAATGTATTTCAAACCTGAACTTCTCCTTATCTAAATTCTGCACTCTTGTGAATTATTGACAAACCGATTATTGCTAATTAGCAGTTTTGTGATGAGCCCTGCTCGACATAAAAAAAAAGAATAAGAGGTAATCAATAGTATAGTCAGCTAACAAGGAAATGCTCTGATCTTGCTAATCCAACTTTAGTAAACATTTTGCAACTCAATCAACATATCTATCTATCTATCTATCTACACATATATATAAGTACTACAAAAAAAATTTTTTAAGTTTTAATTTATTGGAGTATGTTTTACAAGAAAATACTTTGTCTTTTTACTTCAAAATGTCATGATTAATTCAATGTGTTACTTTAATGTATAATTGCCTTACTGTGAATACTTCAAATAAAGGATAAAAATAATAATTGTGAATAATTGTGAATTTTAAGAAGTAAATATCAGCATAAAATAATAGCAATTATTTTATCGTTAACATTGTCCAGCTTTTTTTTTATAGTGGCTTTAATTTAAATCATTTTTAAATGACATCATAAGGATAACCTTTCACGTTTTTAGCTATTAAAGTGGAATGTAATTATATTTCATATCTGCCGCTTGATAAATATTGAAAGACATGTTCATAGTTCAAATCCCCATCCTATTATTGCCTGTGGGATATTGTTACAAACTGTACATATTTAATGATGAAATAGCCCCACAAGCCCACAATGTTCAGAGGTAAAGCTCATGTTCTGCGGTTCAGACTGTTGGGTTCATCACTTTTAAATGGTTGGTTTGAACATCATGTTACACAAAATAACTTCTCTGGGGTAATGCAAGAACTATGAAAGGGACAAGCGGAAAAATGGGGCACACACAGAATAGCCTCGTGATTGATAAAGCTTCATATTATTAGTTGCTTTGCAACTTAATGTAAAGCTTTCTTTAAAAAAAAAAAAGTTAATTTCTCTATTTTAAAAGCAAATGAGACCGTTCCAAAATTCAAAACAGATTCTGCTTACCCTTCAGTCGATTCCCCTGATGGTGCAATACTGTGATACAGAATAATTATGTAGTAAGAAAGAGCAAAAATCAATACATTATTCTGCAGATCACTTGATTCAGTAATGACTAGTACAATTATTGCCATCCATTGATTCATTAGAGCGGCTCTCAAGGGCAGACCCAACAAACCCTTAGCCTTCTGACTTCTTCTCCAGTGCCATCACTAATTATGAAACATTAAAAGCTAATCGCAATGTAGGACAAGGTTAGAAGAGCCATACTGCTAGGTGGAACCACTTAAAGCAATTAGTTTCCTTCTGTCCACATATTTGGTTAAATCTTTCTTGCAAGTCACTGGTCCTCGCTATCAGAAGGCGGAAAACAATGCAGCGAGTGCAAACAGGAACTTCCAGCAACAAAATTTGTAGTGTGACATAAACCTGAACATTTTGTCATCAAAAAGGGCAGGTAAAATGTGTTTCTATTAGGTGTCTGATGCTGCCTAACTGGAATGGGAGGGGTGTATGAATAATTGGAACAAAGAGAAAACTTTGAGTACATTCCATGCAAACCTTACTACACAAACAATTGCACAAACAGATGAGAACAATAGAAAGTGACAAACTGATGAATATCACTCCTAACGTCTGCATTGACAAAGTGATAAAGCACTGTCCATATGGCCCTGCTGACATGTAAGCATTTTTAATGTGAGGACACCTTTGCCCTATGCAAGCAGAAAGCCTTGACACTGGATTCGGTGACTATAATCACCTCTAACATAATGAGCTTTAACACGTTGTCTCCTCTCAATCGAATTGCATTAATAATATACACCAAAAGAAGACACTAAGCTTAAAATATTAAGTGTTTCTTGCAACTTAAATGGGAGTGACAGATATGAATGTTGCAAGCAAATCTCGGGCCGTTTGTTCCTCAGTCACCATCCACACAGGCAAAATAAACAGCTGAGGTAAAAATGGTTTAATTTCGACCACATAATGAGATGATGGTTTAAGCACCATATGGGTCATATATATATATATATATATATGTGTGTGTGTGTGTGTGTGTGTGTGTGTGTTTAATGGATACTGTACACATTTTTTAAAGCAGATTAACAAATAACATATATATGTTTTCATATTTATTTCTTTAATTTTTTACAGAGTGTGTGTGTGTGTATATATATATATATATATATATATACAGTGGGTACGGAGAGTATTCAGACCCCCTTAAATTTTTCACTCTTTGTTATATTGCAGCCATTTGCTAAAATCATTTAAGTTAATTTTTTTTCCTCATTAATGTACACACAGCACCCCATATTGACAGAAAAACACAGAAAATACTTCGGACCATGTGATATTTCAGTTTTTCTTTTTTAATTAATCTGCAAAAATGTCAACAATTCTGTGTTTTTCTGTCAATATGGGGTGCTGTGTGTACATTAATGAGGAAAAAAAATTAACTTAAATGATTTTAGCAAATGGCTGCAATATAACAAAGAGTGAAAAATTTAAGGGGGTCTGAATACTTTCCGTACCCACTGTATACACTCTGTAAAAAATAAATCAAAGAAATAAATTGAAGAAACAAAATAAAAATGTATTACAGTTTTATGTTCAGATCAAAATGTGCATAGTTGAAAATAAATAAATAAATTGTAGTTGTAGTTGTAGTTGTAGTTATAGTTTAGTTTAA